ACGATAAAATCTCCCTGTTAAGGTACACACATTTATTCATTCGTGTGAATATACCTTCGTAGAAGATGCATGAGTGTGTGTGTGTAATAATGCACCAGGCTGTACGTGTTGATGCAACGTGCTCGTCGCGTTATCGCTCTGACTATGACTCGTACGTGCCATTATAAGTTTCATTAGAAGAAGTGCATTTCCTTTTCCGAGGTTCGCTGACAAGGTCGTCCGTACGTTTATCCACACGAAGGATTTCTACTAGATGAGGTGATAGTTTTACTCGTAAAATGTCTAAGTTCATTTCAGAATAAGTTCTGTGTACTTTGCGTTCGATAACTCGTCCAAGTTTGCATTGACTCATATTCTCTTAGTTGCTTTCCACACCCACGGAATTCTTTTTAAATATTTCGACAGGAACGACACTGGATACGCGATAAGAAAAAAAGCGGGAGAAAGATACGTATAGTAGATTGTGTGTGTACGTAAGTGTATATGAGTTAGAAGAAGCGTGAAAAGTCGAGGAGAGGCACGTGATCAAACAAGTAAGGCAGTACAGGAGACAAGCAAGGAAAGAGAAAAGAAAGAACCCTTCCACCTGAATGTTTAAAGAAAAAAGGTACTAGAAAGTCGGTCGCGTGTCGCGACAACGACGCTGATTCGTCGTTGGGTACCTTCTTCTTCTTCTCCTTCTTCGACCTGTGCACTTCTCGTTTCGTTATGTTCCTTCGAAAAGGTACGAAGGATCATCTTATACCTGAATGGGTTAAAAAAGAACGGAGAAACAAGGAGAACGAAAAAGGTGAGATGAAGGAGGGAGGGAGGGAGGGGGGAAAGCCACGTGACCCTTTCTTTCTCTCTCTCTCTTTATCCTTTTCATTATTTTTCTCTCTCGTGGTACCTTCTCTACCTTCCCGGTGGATTCCTTCTGGCCCAACCTGACCTATCCAAAGGTGAGATTTATCCGGTATTACCTGCCACCACCCATACGCATATCGTATCTTCTTTATTGTTGCCAAACTTTCTTCCTTTTTATTTTTTTTTCAGAGTTGTCTCTCTTTTGATTTTATTTGTCTATGACAATTTACATAATTTTCCATAAATTTTGTTTATCATAATTTTTCTGTCTCGAGTATTTTTAGGAAATAAATAATATTCGAGATCATTAAGATGTTGGATAATAAACTTTCATTGATATATAGTCTCTTGAAATATTGGCAAATTAGTTGGTAGTCCTCAAGTTTCCTGTTTGTCACGTGCCCGAAGGATTCTTAAAAGAGATGCTTGTGTAGGTCTGTGGAAATAATAGATGGGAATTCGTTGAACTAGCCCGAAGCGTTCGAAAAGAGCAGGATACGTGTGGACCTTAATTCGAAAGTCGAGTAGGCTATAATCGGAAACCTGCTCGCACAATGCAAATACGGAGGCATTATATGCTCGTCGTGATGTAACAGCAATTTGGTGCCTAACTAACTTCCGGTTCTTTCGAGGACTTGAAAATTTTCATTAAAATCATATTATTGTGGCTTAAGACGTTTCAACTCATACCAATACATGTTCTTCCGTTTGCCGATGATTTTCAACGTAAGAAAGCGCGCGTAAGATCAAATTGAAATATCTATTAAATAGAAAGATTTACATATTCACGCTTTCTATAACATGTGAATTCGAATTTATAAATGTCCCGATGATATTGCGACAGAGAAGTTTATTCATCGTAAAAGTCGACCAGTTTTTACATAGGAACATAATTGATTTCTCTTTCCAAGTCGGTCTTTTATAGTTTCATGCGATAATCGTTTCGTCGAAGTTAGTTTCTTTATAATTATCCTTGTAACCAAGAGTTTAACGTACGATCCAAAGAATGATCGCTTTTTTTTCCGAAAAAATACTTCCGGCAATAGTAGGTTACTTTATCGATATTTATTAGACAGAGTTAATATAATATTTTTGTTATAAAATATTCATAAATATTCAATAAGAGATCGAAATAACGTTATCAATTTTTAGTCTGTTAAATTCAAATCATATGAAGAATTATTCGAAGTAGAACACTTTACATAAATATCTTGTTTCTTTATGCGCGACAATATCAACGTAAAATTTCGAAATCATATGTCCACGCTTTCTCCTTTATTCGAAAAAAGCGGCTAATTTCACCGTCTATGTCAGATTATCCAAATTAGGCTGTGGGATCATTCATATTTATTCCTTAACACGTGAGAAAAGTATTTACCTACGTGTTTGTGTATAAGACCTCAGTCAGATTTCTTATCCGTATATGTTTATCTTTCCGTTTGATTCGTCGAAAGAGTTAAGTTTATCGTTGAACGTAAAAATGTTCTAATTTTGTGATTACGATAACCCAAAAATCGATTGCATACACAATCATATTCGGAAAGGTTTATAACTGTAAATTGAATTTTTTTTATTGAATATTGTAGACGTCAATGAGACAATAATCTAAATTGTCAAAATTAGGAATTCGTTAAGGAAGAAAGGAAAAAGATATCTATATATATATAGAAAAAGAGAGAAAACAAGTTCGAGGAAATGGAATAGGTATACAAAGAAGATCAGTGATAATCGGTGGCAAGAGACAACGGAAGATAATGGTCCAGAGTACCGTGAAGTACACTCACGAATCGGAAGCCCATCTAATTTTCCGCACGCAAATGTTTCCAACGACGGTTAAAGGAGAAATAATGAAAAATAAAAAGATCATCTTCGCGTTTCTTTAAATCTTTATTTTTTCGGAAACACTAATGAAGGCTAAAACGTAACATATACGTCCCTGAGGGGTTGCTTATTAGAAACTATCAGGATGAAAAAGATGAGAAAGAAATAAAGATTTAAGGGATAGCATTCAAATCTCATACGTTGTATTGTCATTAACATTAGTTAATTTAAATGTGGACCACTTTTCGGTATCTTTACTGATTGCTAGTAGTAATGATTCAAATGAATTAATACGTTTCTTTACAATGTTCATTATCATGCGAATACTAAGATTATAATGTTATCTTCATTGTTATCTATCTTTCCATCCGAATATTTATAATTCAGACATAAGTGATTATTATATATTATATTTCTACGGCGTGTCAATTTGTTTGGAAAGATTTATTGTCTTCGATAAAAAAAAAAAAGAAAAAAAAGGAGAAAAAAAAACTGCTCGAAAATTCGATTCGTAAGATAGGAAAAGAGATTGTTAATTGTAATACACAACATGTGAGTATGTAAGTACATATATACGTTTGAGAATCGAATCTAATTATACGATAAATATTGTTATATCCTTCTACATCAACCTGTAAATAATATAGGTTGAAAGGAGTATCGCGTTACACGGTAATGGAAGGAAAGTCAGGTTCGCGTGAACGCGATGATCCGTACGTGCGAAATACACCGTTCGCGTCCTCGCGAGTAATTTACTCTTTATTCTCGATCGTGTTTCGTTATTTGATCATATTAGGGTTATTCTTTTAAAACTATAAGTCAATTAGATATAGGAACTTATAGTACGTTACCCAAAGGGATGTCTTTATCGTAGCAAGAGCTGCGTAATTTCTATATATGATTTTAAATTATCACAGAGAGAGGTTTTTCTGCTTCACGATATAAAATCCGTCATTATATAATTATTTATTATTGATAAATTTTCTCTTTTACCCTGATAATAGCACATTGTGCGACATTGTTGCCTTGTTCTTCGTATTGTATATCTATAAAAGTCTATTTTTTTCTATAATATCTTGTTAAGATAGGGGATCGATACTTCTAATCCATTAATTGCATTTATATTTATATGAGGCGAGGTAAGTAATTGAACGTGTCACTTTTTTTTCGCACGATGATCGTTAAGAATATTAACTCGTTGGAATTGATATAAGTGCCAAGATAAAAATGGGTGGAGTAAAAGGTTAATAAAAAGAAATGAGTAGATATTTTACGAAATTCTTCTTTTTTCTAAACTAGAATTCGTTCTATCATTGGTCGCGCTCATCAAAAATAATCATGTTAACATACGCACTCTTACGTAGTTATATTTATTCAAAGAAACTTCGAAGCTTAAACGTTATCGATAGATACGATATCGAGTGATTTTTATTTTTTATATTTCTAGACTATTCTATATCGCTCACGTTCGCTTTGCTTCGCGGTTTAGTTAGCATCGATTACAATTAACGTAGCCGCAATTGCATTGGTCGAGCCGATAAATCTCAAAGATACGCGCGAATATCTTTCAAGAAACTATCTATATTTGTTAACTCGTATTGATAAGATATTTTCTTCCTTATAACTTATTTCAATGATACTTTGATAGAGAGATTTTCACGATTTCAAAATATCTAATATATTCTTCTTTTTGTTATTAATCCGAATGGTGCATAAATTTGAAAAACGATTAGCATGAATCGCGATAGTTTATTTTTCAGATCGGCGTATCGCGTTCGATTGATTAATCTATGATAGGATATATAAAATGTGTTAATGATGAGGGTATAAAGGAGGAGTGTTATCTGAAACCGAAAAACTAAACAGCAATCACGTATTCCTAAAGAGTTATTAATAAACTTAAACTGTACCACTATATATCCTTGATTAATAATAACGTTGAAAGACATCGCTAAATCTCATCTATATATCATCAAGAAAAAAATGGACTTTACATTAAGTTCGATTAAAATTACCCTACATATATTATATATATATATATATTTTAGACGTTAACGCGAATATTATCGTTCAACTTCGATCGACCGTATGACTCATTCGTTAATACGCTTTGAAAGATCACGAACGCGCTAGTGATAATTCCAGGTATCAGGGCGATTAGTATCAAAGATAACCATTAATCGTGGCTCATTTATCGAAATCTAATAAGCGATTATACGAACTATGTTTTAATTTATGAGCCCAATTATTTTTTGCGTGTTCAACGTGTTTGATTATCAAAAAAAAAACGTTATTTTTTAAGAATTAAGATTTAAGAATTATTAAAAACTCACCATTCTCGATATCTCTTAGGGGTCCTGGCGGACTACCCCCAGTGGAAACACCCTCGTCTTCGCTACTACTGGTACTAGCCTCGCTGGGGCTGTAACTTCGTCTACTACCAGATACCCTGATTTTTTGTGTGTTGACTGTACCGTTGTTGTTGTCAGTGATCCTGTTCTGTAATCTCTCGTGCATAATCCTAACTCGCGATTGTAGCCTATGTTGTTGTAGAGTTCCGACGGAAAAATCTAAAGGTTGATCGATCTCCGAATGGATCTGATGCCTTTGCACCTGTTCGCAAATTGCACTTGCTACGAGAGCTTGCGTTTGACTGACTCGAGCAATCGGTACTACATGTTGTTGTTGTTGTTGTTGTTGTTGTTGTTGCGATTGCTGTTGTTCCTGATGTACGGCACTAGGCGTGCTCCACCATTGATGACTACCCTGAATCGATCTCCAAGCTTCTATGGTATTGTTATTCGTTGGACTGGTCTGTTTTTGTTTTTGTTGTTGCTGCACTTGCTGGTGGGATTGCTGTTGTTGTTGCTGTGACATCGCAACCTCCACTAAATTGTTGTTTTCTAAGAGATGCATGCTGGGTGTATGGGTCATCGAGGTTGGTAAAACGAAAGGGGTGGGCCCCACTAAGGGTGGGCTGACTTCCTGCCGTTGTCGATGACTGTGATGCTGTTGCTGTTGCTGTTGCCGCTGTTGTTGTGTTTGTTGTTGTTGTTGTTGTTGCGGTGATTGTGGTTGTTGTTGTTGTTGCTGCTGTTGGGGTGACGTTAGAGGAGGCTGAGAACTTGGTTGTATCAATACCGGAGGTGGAATTTGTCGAATCCGCGCGGCCTCCGCGACCCAGCGGCGCACCGCCTCGCTGTCGAGACCCGCCAGCCCTGCGAAATTTGGTTTCGACTGGCCGCCGGGCGATGATAAACCCTTCTCGGGTATCAAGCCGGGTAGCGCGAGAAGCCCAGTGCCCGCCACCGCGACCCTGGGTTCCGATACGCCCCCGTAAGCAGACAACGCCGCGAGATCCAACGTGTTACCGGGTGGTCTTCTATCGATTATTTTTCAATTGTTAACTCTTTGTTATTCTCGATGAGATAATAGCATCGAGCGAGTAAGAGTATACTACATAAAACACACCACCACTGATAGAAAGCTCGTAAACGCGGCTGCGGCTGCAGCACCACTCTATGAGCGTCACTCTCGTGAAACACCCACTGTCTTGCACGATCTCTCGTCCACCTTATCAGAAGACAACACGTAACACACCCGCGAAGTTTGCCAACTAACAGACACACTGTGTTCGATCCGTCGAGCGTCACTCGGTCTCGGAGATACCGATAACGGCTGTCATTGTAGAAACAAATTTTCACAAACTACACGTGTTCGAGAACTGAACAATTGTAAGGGTTTCGTTTAGAATTCTCGGGTAAGTTAACAACAGGAGGATGAGGGTGAGAGTGAGGGTGAGGGTGAGGGTTAAGGCGACTACGCGAGGAGATGACGCGCGATGAGATGACGCGACGACGACGTCGTCGGCGGCGGCAGCAGCAGGTTGGAGGGCAGCAGCTCGGAGGGCTGCGGCTGCGGCTGCGACGGCGGTCAGATGCTGTCGCGTGCATGTGTGCAGCTACACTAGAGGGCCCACGTAGGTCCGGCAGGCCGCCTACCGGCCACGGCGAACGCGAGGCGCGTACGCGGACTTGCCGAGGCCGGAACGGATAGAAGGTGGGGGAGTCTTGGTCGCCGCTGCTGCCGCCGTCGTCGCCGTTGTAACCGTGGTTGCCGCACGCCGTCGCCCGCCGTCACCCGCTGCCGTCGCCCATCGTCACCGTCACCACCACCGCCGCACGCCGCCGCACGCCGCCGCCACCGGGGGCACACGAGCGAGCGCGAAAGGCCCACGCGTGGGAGAAAGACGGACTGCGTCGCGAGTGGACGAATCCGGTGGTGGGGATGCCCGCAAGCTCGGGTGGGGAATCCTGGACCAATCGGAACGCTGCGCTCGGCTCCGCCCGCCGCGACGTACCGAGCGCGCCTTTTTACCCCGCGTGTGCGCGCCTCCCCCTATCCAACTACATCACTCCCCCCCCGCCCCACGACACCCACCCCCTTATCAAGAATGACTATTCCATGAGTTATTTGCATCTAACATATTTTTCTTTGCCGAGACCTTCTTAACGTTATTATTGCAATGCTGGAGATTGATTATACATTTTTTCTCCTTGACACATTTTTTTTTCTTCATATGTTATAAAAGTTTTAAGATATTGTTTTAATCTGTTTCTGTTCTTTGTTAGTGCTAAACAAATTTCAATTGTTTAAAACTGCTGTCCGCCTTAGCTTTTGTACTCCTAGGTACAACTCTCATCTATCATATTTCCATACACATCTGGGAAATCTCTTCACCACTCCCAATATTTGAATTTGACATGCGCAATAGTGGCGGAAAAAAATGTGCTTTTAAAGGAGTTCCATTATTGGTCGGTGTGCCTACTGCCGTTCTTCCCACTTCTTCCTCTTATCGCGCTATCATATTTCCATACAACCAAAGACGTAATACCACCACCACCACCATCACCACCACAACCACACGGGAAGCATTATTACCTACCTATATTACGTTCATCGGGTGCTCGAACGGATTTGAATTCAGCATGCGCAGTCCGATGCGCAAAAAGGGCACTTTAAAGAGGCTCTTATTGGTCATAGGAACGTCACCCTCCCCACTCTTCATCGGCGTGTTCTGCGTAGCTAAGCTCGCGAACGTTGCACCCTTCCTCTTATCGCGCTACCACCCCTATTCTTCCTCTTCGTCCTCCGTAGAGCACAAAAACAGCGGGTAGAGGGGCATCCACCCCCTTCTTTGCTTCCGCCACCCTCGTTCTCCTGCTTTCTCTTTCTTCTCTCTTTCTCCTCGTTCGCGACGCGATAGGGCTCGCGCACGAGGGTGGCTGAGAGGGAGGCAGAGGAGAAAGACCAAGCGAGCTGGTATTGATTTTAATGACGCCCCCACGACACTCTAGTCGCGATACCGAAATTTACCATAGAGGCGCGAATAATATCTACGCTCTCCTAAGTAAAGAAACATTCACACTTGTCAAATCATCAATGGGATTTTCGCTTACTTTTCATTCTTATTTTGTTCGTATACTCAAATAAAAATGAGAATCACTGTGTCACGAATTAATTGTGTACGCATAACAGAAGACAGAGTCACTTGACTTTTATAACCAAAGGGGATCGAGTGACCCCACCTGAGGGGTTCTGTATAAATTGACTAGGTGCATAAGTAAGAAAGTTATAGATAGAGAGGGAACCTAATCTGAATAAAGTAAACCCTTTTCTCCCTTTAATGTGAACCCTCTTTTTTATTCATCGCGTGCTGGTATTTGCATGACCCTCCTCGTACTAGTGCAGGTGCCAGGCTTCCCCCTTTTTTTCATATTCAATGGGACGAACCTGTAAGCAAGGGGTAACTATATGGAAATGGGTAGGTACCTGCGTTAAGTTCTTTGCACGGTACTTTGCGAAGGGTCGATTTCACTCAACAATTCGAGCTCTTTTAGCTAGATACTAATTTTCCACCTGTCTCTTATTCAACAGGTATCAATGTCAATATACTACCTTGATGGATCGAATAAATTTAACGAATCCTGTTATTATAGATGAACTCGTTTAAATTAAAACAACAACTTTTTTTCGCGTAGAAAAATGTTGCACGAAGAGACATTGAATAAATGACATTTATTTGCTTTAACGTAAAACACCAAGCAGTCGTTGCTACCTCTTGACCCCATGACCCTCTCTCAAGCCCGACGACTTATATCTGTATGGGTATATTCTATACGTACGAATGGTAGCCTAACATTCAGCCACCTGCGGCTTCTGACATCTCAAGCAGCGAAACCAAATAACGTTCAAATCTTTCTTCTTTTTCCTATTCCAGATTCAAGTTGCTTTAGTACTTCAATTTTTATTTTCTATTTACGATGAATAAAATTTTCTTTAACATTTTTTACGATGTGTTTTTTTTTATATTTTTAAATTGTACTCTGTAAAGAAAAGTAGTCGATGTAATCGTACTTGTAGCTACCGTTACGATCCGATTTTGTTTGTTCTCCGTATTTTTGGGGGAAAAGTATAAAAAAATGCTACTTGCCATACGAATTCTTTTTCTTATTGTCAGGACTCCTTGACGGTACCGCACCCTCCAAACGGCAATAAAGACGTCCCATTACGTGCGAAATTAAAGGTTTTGATCCTACCGTGTACGAGAGCTACGGACAAAATTTCTTTCTTTCTTCGTTTCGTTTTTTTATCGTTACTCTTCGATAGATTGAAGATATCTCTTTCTCTCTTTTTCGTTCTCAAACGTTACCAGGTGTGCGAATAAAAATTATTTTTTACCCTTCAAGTATTTTCTATCTCAGGGTGGGGAGATATCGACAAAACAAAATCGAAAATTTCGGTAATTCGAGTGGGTGCAACGGGTTCCAAGTAAATACAATGACACAACAATGGATACTTCAAGAGAACAAAATATTTATCCTTGAGAGTTTTTTTTTATTTCTAACTAATTTGTACTGCAATAATTCGAATTTTTAAAAGGAAAAATTGTTGGCCCATAGTTTTTGTCCTTTTCAAAGAAGAGACAAAAAAGTGTTCAAAGTGAAATGTTTTTAATATAACAATATTTTTGTGTGCTTTCAAGTTTCGAAAGTTGTCCGACTGGTATTACACAAAAGTGTAATAATATTCGTAATAGAAATATTTCGAGAAAAGAAAAATAAACGACGTTTAACCAAGCAACAAAGGAGACTTCGGTCTCGTTTTACGTTTTCCTGTGAATTCTGCTTATATACATTCCCATGGTTTATGATGCTCGAGTTATTTATTGCCTCCTGTTTTCCGAAGCTTTTACTCGGTTTCCTTGTTATTTTCATTCGACGACATACAGGTAGCGGATCATCTTACTTATTACTTTAAAAAATTACGACATCATGGAATTCGCCGAAAATGCACTTTGCGTCTGATGTTTCTCTTATCAAAAGAAAACAAAAAGAACAAAAATAACTGATATGTGTAACTTATGTACGCACGTAAGAAGTTATACTTCTTTTTAGCGTAAGAAAACATTTTTTTTCGCAATCTATATGCCTTATAACGTTCCACGTTTGTTTGTGATAGATTCTTTCTTTTTAGATATATTTTTATAATAATAGAAATTTAAATGTATACTGATACTGGTCAAAAATATCAAAATATAGACACATCAGTCCACACTAAATATAAGAGAGTTATATCAAACTACTTTTATGCGTCAACAGGCATGGCGCAGTGACAGCACAAGTCCCTGCTCGATCATTTAAGTCAAGCAGCATTTGAGTACGATTAGAACTTGGATGGGTGACCGCTTGAGAAGAGAAAAATTTGAAGTCGCTATGCCCGCGCATCGTAAATATCTCGACAACTTCGTGGTGTTGATTTTTCGGTCGCATTTAACTTCACTTTTTAAAACGCGCCAAAAGAAGTATAACTTCAAAAATAAAAATAAAACAACAAGAAATTAAAGAAGAAACGACCACCATATGCATGAAAAGATTCGTAACGTCATTCATGCATGGGTCATGGACTCTGGGAAAAGAATAAGATGAGGAAAAGTCTAGATTAGTTCGTGGGCGGTTTTATATTTTGAAAAACGATCAATCGATACGGCGCGGGCCCACGTACCTGGCGTGAAATCGAAAACGTTATCCCGTCTAAGGTACACCAGGTATATCTCGAAGGCGATTTTTCGGCTCGCGGGAGTAATAATGAGGTTTCAGTTTTGAAACAGCGTGAAGGAACATATATACTATACATATATACCTACATATAGGTATATTGACAGATCAAAGGGAGCCGACTTCTGGCCACCCCATCGTCTTTCGCAATTTCAAGGTTCCTTTTCGGACACCTCAGGCCGACTTCCATTTTCCGGATGGTTCCTTTCTCATTTTACCCACCCCTTTTACTTCCAACAAATTCCAAAGTATTCTTTTCCATACTATTCGACCAAATTTCCTACGAAGAAACCAAATGTAAAACAATATTTGAATATTTTTAATTCGTTCTTAATGTTCAGATATATTCCCAAAAGTATTGACCCGCACTTAAAAAACATTTTCTATACTAAAAATTATGCAATTCTACGCGAAACTTTTTGAATTGAACCGAAATAAGAAATTGACGTATGTTCAGAAAGATCATTGGCTCGTCTTGCATTTGCGATATCGTGTGCGCGTAATTATGACCACGTCACGATGCGTTCATATTCCTGACATTACGCATGTGAGGGAACGTAACGTATGATTATAAAATAAGCGGTTCCTTTTGTGGTAATTAACGGATCGAGGCTTGCCTCAAATGAATTCGGGTGAAAGACATTATTATTGTGTATATCGTCAAACGAAATACTTGAGTACATTTTAACGAAATTTTCATTAGAATAATTTCAATAACAATTTGAAATATATATTTAAGAAAATTTGCATGCATCTTTTATGTCTCTTATGAAACTAGAAAATACATCGACACGTATACTTGTATAATATTTTCAGCGTAATTGGTTGGCCAATTAGACTTTTCAAGACCAAAAAAAGTATAGTAGGAGGATTAGATAAGTGACATTCTTGGGATTCATGATGTTTCGCGGACACGACCGTAGATCGACCTCGGTG